TATAATTTGGCCTGGTGTGAAAATCCAAACTAAAGTCAAATTTATATACTCTACTCTTTTTTATTTAAGTCAACAAAGATGTATACTATACAACTGATACCCTCTATATAAGAGCCATTCAAAGAAATCATTAAGAGCCCCAAATTATCAGGACTATTCACCTATAGACTAAACGTTTGACCACTTTTGTAATATTCAGGTGAATGAAGGTGCATGAGAGGCAACAAAAGAAACTGAATAACAATAACAGTTTATTTGAGGAGCTAATTAAATCACATGCATCTAAATAATATCCTGAGTGATCTCAAGGGTACGCCACCCACTGACAGAAAAACTCTCTGTTAAAAAGCTTGTCTGTAGCGCCACCTTGTGGTTTTTTATTCACTAATGAACTCCTCAGGAGTTCATGCTGTGAGCTTTTGCTTGCAGTACAAGCGGCTGGTTACGACTTGTAGTGATGCAGAATGAGTGCATTCAAAGTAATTCCAGTAAATTTCAACCTCGTGGTTTATATATTTTTTAAATGCACAAACATTGTGTAGCAATTACAGCTTTCATAGAGTGTTTCACACTTTGTGCCCATGGCCATCATCTATTTCTGTGGTCCCAGTTATCTGTGACAGTCTTCAGGAATGGTCCGGACTATATTACACCCTCTTCCCTCCCCCAGAAGCTGTGCTAAAGTAACAGCTGATGTCAGTCCTGCTTAAAGACACACACACATATGAACACACATGCACACAGACCACACTGGCTACTCGGTCAAAGAGAGCCAGCCAAAGGGGAGTAGGGCTCCTGCACCTTCCTCTTCATCAGCACTTGGCACAGAGGAGGCTCCATACCACGCTTCACAAATCCACAATCCAAGCCTTTAATCCCAAGTTACAGCAGACTTAAAAGGGGAGGGCAGTTATCTAACTCTCTCAGCACCCCCATGTGCCTGCTTGGATCATGGAGCTGCACTGCCTTCCTACTGATACCCCCACCACAGCCAGCTCCTGCTCCACGGATCCCCCGTACGACAACTGCCCACCTTTTGGCCAGCGAGAGAGAGCCAGGGAGAAGGAAATGGAGAGTGGAGTTGTGTGCCCTGCTGTAACCAGACTCCCAGGCCCCCAGAGCCCACTGCCTGGTCTGGCCCCAGCTGTGGCTGAGGTTCAGACAGTGGTCGGTGGGGGAAGAGGGCCTGGCATTTGGCCAGCTCACAGCTACTGCAACTGTAAAGAAGGCCTGGGAAGACAGGCCTGGGAAGCAGAGCTAAGCAGAGGCATAAACACAGCAAGAGGAGGAGACAGAGGAGGAGAACAGGGGTGTAGCTGGGGAGTTCATGTGAACCAAAGCCCAAGCCCATCACAGAGTGAGGAGCACCGGAGCGCTCTGTCTCTGTATGATAATCTCCCTGATGCTGAAACATCACACAGCCTCCAGGACTTTGACACAGAAACAAGCCTCCAGGAACACTTGCAGGAGCAGATGCACAAAGCTGTAGCATCCAAACAAATCCAGGGATCGATGGAGGACGACTGTGCGACTGAAAAGATGCTCAGTAAAAGATGTTCTAGCAACCAGGACCAGAAACCAGACCAAGATGAGGAGCATGAACCGGAGCTAGAGCTGGACTCAGGATCCTGTAGATTAACAGAAGGGGACCTGATGCAGCATCACCACCTCCCTACGTCGCTTCCTCAACATCTTACACAAAATTCCGCTCAGATGCGTCAAACCAAGTGTCACGACCCACCGCTGTGGCAGCCAAAACAGACATCGTCTCCCAGAGTGCCCCCTCCATTACCCCTGGCAGACCCCTCTGCCAGTGCTTTACGCAGCCTCCTCACCAGCCTGCAGCACCAGATAATGAAGCAGAGAGAGGAATATGAAGCACGGATAATCAGGTAACGTCAGCTTGGTTTTCTTTGTCCTACATTTTCTATTTATAAATCCCCAACAAAGATTAATTATGCCATGTGAAACAATATGAAGTGTCTTAAAATGTAACGTGGTGATGCTTTTGGCTTTAATATTAGCATACACTTACAGCTCAATGACTTTAAGAATTTTCCAGCCTGTGGTGTATTTTCAGTGAAGGGTAACACACTGTTCCCAGGCAAAGAAAGTGTGTACGTGTGTCCACTCAGCTGTGCTGGTGTGGTCCCTCAGTTGACTCCAAGCTTCACCCTACATCCTGTTTGGTTCACAGATCAGCGAGAGCCGATTCAATTTTGTCATAGTTTCCCACGGATCTCCTCATGATGTGCTATGATGGAAATGCTGCTTGTATACACACGAAACTGCATTTTGGATAACCAAAGTTGGGATTTGGGTTTTTTAGTCTGGAAATGGATGTGCATCTATGTTTGTGGCAAAATACTGGCAAATTAAGAAGAAACCTGTTTTTTTTTTGCAAAAAAAGAAGCACAGCCCGTGTGCATGACATATAGACCAGCTCATGACAGTGGAAAGAGAGCTAATTTAAGGGGCCATGCTGCTGACCTAGACACAACACATACCTCATTTATTACTGATATAGATAGACCAACACTCAGAGTAAGGTAATGCATTAGTAGTAGTGGAGATGACAACCCTTTTAGCTCAATAAGGATGGTACGAAAAGTCACAAAAGACAGCTTTAACTCTGCACACGAAGCTTTTGAACTATCCGTTCAGCTGTGATTTACCCCCTTCTTGATTCCTTAGTTTTTTGCATATTAGTCACAGTTGCATGTTTCAGAGCATCAGACAAATTTTAATATTAGATGAAAATAACCAGGGTAAACACAAAATGCAGTTTTAAAATAACCATTTTATTAATTAAGGGGGGAAAAGCTATCCAAAATTGTGTAAAAAGAAAAAAGAAAGCTCAATTGCTCCCTAAACCTAATAACTGGTTGTGCCACCCTTTGGAGCAAGAACTGTAATTAAGCATTTGGAATAATTGGCAATGAGCCTTTCACTGTGGAGGACTCTGATCCACACCTCTTTGTAGAGTTGTTTTAATTCAGCCACACTGGAGGGTTTTCAGGCATGGACAGCCTGTTTGAAGCCATGCCAAAGCATCCGAGTTGGATTTAGAACTGGACTTTGACTAGGCCACTTCACTACCTTCATTCACTTTGGCTAATCATCATGCTGCATAACCCAAGTGTGAACGGATGGCCGGACATTCTCCTTCCGGATTTTCAGTAGTTACAGCAAGTCATCCAGATGCTGAAGCAGCAAAACAGCCCCACACCATGACACTACCACCACCGTGTATGACTGTCGATATGACGTTCCTTTTATGAAATGCTGTCGTTTTTTTTGACAGATGTAACAGGATGCAAACCTTGCAGAAAGTTTAACTTTGCCTCATCAGTCCACAGAATATTTTCACAAATCATCAAGATGTTTTTTGTTTTGTTTTTTCAAATGTGAAACAAGCCTTTTTCTTTCTGATCAGCAGTGGGTTTCTCCTTGGAACTCTACAATGGAGGCCATTTTTACCCAGTTTCTTTCTTATTGCTGAATCATGAACTCTGACTTTAACGGAGGCAGGTGATGCCTGCCGTTCTTTAGATGTCGCCGAGGTACTCTTGGAGTAACTTTGGTAGGTCAGCCATCACCGTTCCATGTTTTCTCCATTTGTGGATAAAGGCTCTCTCTGTTGTTCACTAGTCCCAAAGCCACAAAAACAGCTTTGTAATTCTTTCTTGCTGGGCTTTTTTTTTTTGTTTAAATAAATGTGTTACTGTTTGAAACAAGTTAGCCTACTTCAGTTTGTCAGATTCTATTTAAGTGACTGCTTAGTTTAACACATATGGTAACAATGAGGCCTGGAGGTGCCCTGTGAAACTGAATTGGGCTTCCCAGAAAGTGTGGTTAATCATAGTTAAGTCATGATTTAATAAGCTGGCAGTGTTACTTTTTCATACAAGGTCAAGTAGGTTTGGATAGTGTTTTTCCCCTTAAAGGAAATCATTTAGAAAGTTTTTTATTTTCACTCAGGTTACCTTGGATATTAAAATGTGTGTACTTTTACACAGGACTGCAATGATGCTGTTGATATAAGGAACAATCCAGTAATCCATCCTGTCATTTTTAAATAAATTAAAAATAAATTTGTATCCTTCACCCTATTCTTATCCTTTTTAACTTTAATATTGCTTCTCTTTTCCTCACGTCATCAGTCTGGAGCAGAGAAATGAAGAGCTACAGATGGAGGTAGTTCGTCTGAAAACAAACCTCGCACAGCAGCGGCACTGGTACCAGGTTGTGCAGGCGAAGATCGTGGAATCTGAACGGGCACGGGCTGCCGCGGAAGCACACAACACCACGATGCAGAGGGAGATGGAGCAGTTTTTCGACATCTTTGGAGAGCTCAACAACGAGGAAAAGAAAACAGAACACATTGTGCAGAGCTTTTGAGAAAGCTTATGATGTGAGCAGTGAGTGCAAAGAGTAGGAAATAAATGCACAAGATGAGCTGGTCATTACACTCTAACGAGGGTCTTTTATCACTATGTCACTAATAAAGCAATGTACAGTCATTTCCTCATGAAGAATCTGAGAATTGCACAAAACAGCATCAAAGAAAGAAAAATAATCACTGATGTCCACTTTATTAGCTGAGTATGGGCAAAAGATGTTGGCCAAAAGGTCATATTGTGGTCATTGCAATCACAGAGGACATCTCTGGAAATAAAAGGAGGAACAAACCGAGATGTACAGTGTATACAATGGAGTCTTTTCTTTTAAAAACATAGGAAACACATGAGATAACCTGAGCAACGTGATGCTCAGTCCTTATCTGCTAAGATTTGGAGAGTTGGATGGCCACTCCTCAGGTCATTTAAGGCATGACTGAAAGAATAAGGTCATGGTTGTGTACAACATAGTGCATAAGTTCTCGGTGACTCCATAGTGTCTTCTTTCTGCATGTCCATCACATGTGCAATCAGTTATGAAAAAAACGTTTAAAAAAAGAAGAACAAAGGGGGGGTGGGGTGGGGGGGGGGCGCAGTATCTGCACAGTCCATTTATCTTTGACTTTCAATCTTCAGTTGAACTCAGGACTCCACAGTCTCACCCACGCTTAAACCACAGCATGTCTGCTTTCTCTCTGGGAACTTTTAAAAAACCTGGACAGCTGGGTCAGATTATTCAAAGGACGAGTGCTGCACAGCATGTTCTCGTAAAACATACAACACACATTTAAGGCCAAAAAAACCAAAACAACAACAACAAAAAACAAACCCTCGTAAAACTACAACAGCTCCCTAACTCTAAAAGCTTTCTGAACTAAGAACGGAAACGTACTGTGAGTGAAAGAATGCTCCTGAATGCATTTCTTTGTATAGCAAGAACTACAATTTCTTACAGGTGTGAAGCCTTCATGCAGGTTAAAACGTGTCGTCTGATTTCATGATTCATTGTGTAACTTTTCCAGCACTAATGGAATGGTTTAAGAAAAAAAAAAAAAAAAAAAGGAGACAGAAGAAAAGACAAAAGGGAGCAGTCCACACGTTTGTCAATGAAACGTTTTGACAAGAGGCTTAATTCCCACGGGCGTCACTGTGGTTGTTGTTCAACACTCTGCAAGAACACACAAAAATAAATACAAGTATCTTGTTTTGCCTCTTCCGGATGTACAGGAATACGATTTTTTTTTTTTGATGTACACACTGATAGTCAGTACCGTAAGTCAAATAAGGGTGATTGCAATATATATATAGATATAGATATATGTAGCTCCACAGACATGTTGAATTTCTTAACCAAACAAGCACATCCTATCTATTTGTAATGAAAGGGTCTACAGCCACTATGAGTGACATCTTTACATACAGTACATTGTATCGGGAAATAAACAGTAACACTGCAATCACAGCTTCCCCTCGCTGTCATGGGGAAAAGCTTAAAACCAACATCACTCAAGCCAATTAATTATTCAATTAAAAACAAAAACACTGTGCAGAACACACAGCTGTAGAGATCTGCAATACTTTTGATGAAACTTTTGATCAGTGTTTGATCATGATTGATGCCATCAGTTTATGGTAAGCTTTTGTTCTTTGTGGCGTAACATGCACTAGAGCAGGTCGCAGTGTGATGCTTGCCTGCCCCGATTTCATGACGATGACCTCTGGTCTCGAATTGCTAAAAAAATAAAACTTTTAAAATACAGGCGTACAAAAACAAACGACTCCCCCACGTACTACTGGCAAATCAATATGGATGCATACACCGCATATAGGCAGGTGATCAAGTAAAACAATGGAGAAAACAGAGAGCACAGGTATCTTTTACCTGCAGGCAGCAGTTCCAACGACAGAGCGGGTAACAAATTAGAAAAATAAACCTGTCCATTGAGACTAAAGAGAAAAACTAAAGACATAAAGGGACAGAACAAGTGTATGTGGAGTTAAAAAACAAAGAAAAGAAAGGATGATGATGGCTGTTAAGCCCCTTTCAGACATGTACCCTCTCCTGACGGTGTCTGAACGTGTTTGCTTCATGTATTCAAACCTGTGATGGCAAATCTCCTGGGTCAGACCTCGTAACAGTTACGTAACACTTCCGGCACAGCACAAGACTAAGAGCATGCAGGACATTAACGGTAACGAACACCAAAAGGTTTGCCGCGAACGCGTCTTTGTGAGTTGCTCAGCTCACAAGAGAACGCCCTAAACAATAAAATATGTGCATATTAACATTTTAGCTCATAAACTTGGTTTGCAATAAGATTAAAACATTCCTCATTTTCATTATTCCCACTCATGAAGAAAGAGATTTGTTTTGGAGCCTGTGTGGGAAGGTTTTTCTCAGCAGCGCACGCACAGAGTACCCCTGTTTGAGAACAACTCACTCAAGAATGTGTTTCCGCTTAGCTAAAGGCAATGCTGACAGTATTCAGGCATGTCATGTTTGTTGGTTTGAATCCATGAAAACACTGATGTAAAACTGACCGATGTCTGAAAGATTGTGCTGTCACTTTAACAGATTGCTGACTTCACCAATGTTACATATTCCATGTCTGAAAAGGGCTACTGATGTTTGGAGAGCGAAAACTGGAGATGGCAGGCAGGCAGACAGAGAGAGATGTGTGGAAAATGTCTGTGTTCAGTGATTCTCGTCCAGAGGTCCTGTCAGTGTGTCGATGCTGCTGCTGTCTGTGTCTGAGGCCAGGGTTTGCTCTGTGGACATGGACGAGATATCGTTGGCTGAAGAGGACTGGGAGGCCGAACCTGACACCACATCTGACACATTACACACAAAAACAACAGACAGAACAGGAAATTTAGCTGCATATGGCAACAACATTTACACTTCCTAGTACATTGTTACTGGAACATCCACTCACAGTCGCTCTATTAGGTATACTGTACCTGTTAAACTGATAATGCAAATACCTAATCAGCCAATCGCATGACAGCAACTCAGTGCATTTAGGCATGCAGACATGCTCAAGACAACCTGCTGAAGTTCAAACGGAGAATCAGAATGGGAAAGAAAAATGATGTAAGTAACTTTGAATGTGGCATTATCATTGGTGCCAGAGTAGTCTGAGTGTTTCAGAAACTACTGACCTACACAACCATCTCCAAGGTTTACAGAGAATGGTTTGAAAAAATAGGAAATATCCAGCAAGCAGCAACTGAGGCTACAATTAACATGGGCTTACCACAGGTTTGAAAAATGTCAGAATTTGTCGTCGACAACATGAAAGCATCCTGCCTTGCATCAACAGGTGATGTAATAGTCTGGAGCATATATTCTTGGCACATGTCGGGCACCTTAGTACCAATTAAGCATTATTTAAACATCACAGGCTACCTGAGGACTCTTGCTGACCATGTCCAGTGTATCCCTCTTATACTAGCTTCTTCTGCTAACAATCTCGAGCTGCTTTCTTGAACATGACAGCAAGTTCACTGCATTCAAACTGTCTACACAAATGGGCCAGATCGCAATCCAGGAGAGCTTCTTCGAGATGTGATGGAATGGGAGACTCACATCATGGACATGCAGCCGACAAATCTGCAGGAACCGTGTGACGCTATCAAAGCAATATGGACCACAATTCCTGAGAAATGTTTCCAGCATCTTGTTGAATTTATGCAACGAACAATTAAGGACAGCTCTGAAGACAAAAAGGCAGTCCGGCAACGTACCACCAAGGTATACCTAACAGAGTGCATGTGTCCACAATGGCACATTTAAGGATACCCGTCTTATGGCCCATGAGAATGCCAGCAGACTCCTTAGCTACAGTAGGGCATTAAGATACGTAGATTGTTTTAAGAGTATTGTACTGAAAGACAATATTTAGGGACAACTACTGTTTCCACTGCTGCATACTGACATAT